AGACCTTTTCTGATTCATCAGTCATTTTCTTTGTCCTAATCCCTTATGAGGAGTACTTGCAGATCACTCACACCCGCAAAACCAAATGGAAAGCTTAACATAAAATGACGGATAAAGAAAGAGAATAATAAGTGTTAGGCATGGATAAGAAGATAAGGCTAGTTTAATTCTTGATGGAACTGCGGAATCTTCCAATATTCTTTGTGCTTGCCAATTATATAATAATTTGGTGTTTCAATAATTAACACAGATTTTCTTTTTTAGAAATATCTTGATATAGTATATATGTTATTTATTTTTATTAGATTTTAAATATGTAAGCATAATAACAAATAAATAATGAATTAATGAAAAAATAATACATAAATTGTGTTAAAATATAGTTAAAAAATTTATGTTAAAATATATTTTTTCTTCAATATAAATATAAGTTCTAAGTATCATATTAAATAAACACGAAAGAGTTAAATATGATATAAAGTAATAAAATATTTTGAAAAATTAATTTTTAGTCTAACTTAACTTTACTTCTCTTAATTTATAGTTGATATAAATCTTTAATATACCATTATTTTATAATATATATATATATATATATATATATATATATATATTTCACATCTAAAATTAGACTTTAATAATGAATTAATCGTGAGTAATATGATATATCAAATAAATAATAATTTTCGTTAAAATGAATTTTAAATAATTATAATATCATCTTGAACTTTAAATTTAGTATAATTTTATAAAATTAACTTATAAAATATAATTTAAACTTATTTATATATATAAATTTACTTTGTGAGATTTAAAAAAGAAAAGAAAAAGAAAAAACATGATTAAATCATGTTTTATTGGATATGCCCTTCATAATAATTTTCCTAAAAAAATCATCATGATGGTTGGCATTATTCGGTTTAGCATGTAATAATCTAATTGAGTTAAGCGATCGAAAAGGAGGGAAGGATCCAAGTTGATGAAAGTTGACAATGAGTGAAAATCAGTATTGGAAGTTAGGCTTCCATCTTTTCTAAAATAATTTATCATTTTGCTTAGAGACATGACTTGTCATTTTATTAGTTAACGTTCCACGTCTTGTCTTGATTACGATTCATTTTATTATGTTTATACGTGCACCCCACAGCAAAAAATAAAAATAAATTAATAATAAAGTTCAAACATATGGTGAGAACAAATGGGACGAATGAATATTTATGGGGACCAAAGATTTCGTCATACTATGTAGTCGGTGCACACTTATAAGAGATGAAAGTGAACTGTGAAAGCAAGGGCCCGAACGAGATATATGAAATTATATATTTTAGTTCAAAAGTACAAGACATTTCACCTTAAAAAAATAACATATCATCCATAAATAAGACATGTCATCATCTTCCTTGAGCTCATCCAAAACCCTTATAAAACAATGTTGAATATTTAATTTTACAGTAATAAAATTATGTTTATTACATATTATAACATAAAATTAACCATGAATTTGAGTTTATTATAATTTATTCTCTCTTTTTTTTCTAACGTTAGTTTTAGTAACCTTTTTTACTTTCCTTTTCAACTCATCAAAATAATTTTATTTTTTTTAGATAATGATGACAAAAATATATGTGTTTATGAATATCACAAATAAAATTTATACCATTTGCATAAAAAATAAAATAAAAATTTAATTTATATTTTATTAAGTTAAATTTAATTAAAATTTAAATTGATTTATATTTTATTTTGTTAAATTTAATTTAATTAAATTTATATTTACATTTAATTTATATTTTCTATTTTCTATAAATTTATTTATAAATTATTTTAGAAATTTGTAAAATATATTTTTTAAATATACGTGGGTATCCACATGTACCGTGAATTTTAAAATATTTATGGATACTTTTTAAATGGGTATTCAACTGGTAATAAAAAGGATAATAGATGAATTTTTTATTGCAAGTGGGGTGGTGCTAGACATATCTTTGTTTGATTCAATTTGTTGTCATCTTTACTTTTAGTATTAGTGAGAGAATTAAACTCACAACTCTGTATTCTGGTTTGATCTGTATTGTTGAATAAAAACACTTTGGTCACTTAAAAAAAATTATGTTTAAATAAATTAGTTGAATTAAAATTTCAAAAAATATATAAAATACACCTAATTAACAAAAGTTTTATCTAATGAAATTAATTTTGATTTAAAATGGGATTTAAAAAACTTGATAATTAAACAAAGAATACTATTATACGAACACATTTCATGAATGTAGTTCCTCCACACGTGCTCTCTTAATTACCACCACATACATAACCCATAAATTGGTTGATACACCATTGTTTGATGACCCAAAAAGGAAAAGGAAAATTAATGTCCTAAAGTGAGTAACAGAAGGAAGCTTATAGCAAGAGGTATAACATATAGGGACATAAGAGGTCCCATTTTATGATAGATTAAGTAAAATGAAGCATAGCCTAATTCTTATGTACGACTTTGACTGTGTTATTTTTGGACTTTGGTTGTTATATGTCTAAGTTACAATGATGTGAGCTCATGATGTGTCTTAAACCAATAAATTAATTAGGTTTTAAAATGGGAACTTGGCAAAGGCTTTATGTGTTGATTACAAAAACTAAACTGCTAAACCAAAACGAATCTATCTTCTTTTTTCATTGCACGCATGTAGAATAAGAGGTTAGTCATAAAATAATAATTGAATGCCTTTTTCTGGTACTATTTTTATTGTACTGAGACGGCGTGTTAGAGCGGATATATAATTAAATGCCTGTGCTAACTTTTCCACATCAAAGGTGCAATCCTTTTGACTTTCCATACATCCTTCCGATTTCCAAAGTGGAGAAATTGGAAGATTGAAATTTCAGTAATTGCCAAAAAAAGTAGGTTACATTAAAAAACATATACTAGATATTGAGATCAATTCAAATTGATTAACTAATTCAATTCAATAACAACTTTTTATACACTTTTTTAACTATAATTATTTAATATTTTCAGTGTTTAATTAGTAACTCGGTCTTTATATTTAAGTCTATAATTTATTTTTGTCCTTTTCAATTATGTTTAAGTATTTTTTTAATAAGTTAATTTAATTATTTATGTTAAATTGACGTAATTACGTTTGAAATATATTATTTGTCAAGATTTGGAAAGTGTCAGGCAGGTATCATTGTTTAGAATCAAAATTTGAAAATTGTCACATGTAAAAGCAGAAAAGTCTTAAAGATAGAGAAAATGAACCAAATTTGGATACACTGTCAGTTTTACTTTCAAATGACTTGAATTTAAAAAAAAAACAAATTATTGTTATGTTTTTGAAAACAAGGACGCATTAAGTATTTTTCTACAAAAAATAGAAATTTTAATTTATTAGAAAAATATGGAAATTAAAATTAATCAAATACCTATATGTAGGATTCAAAAATTACTAAGTAAACCTATTTTTAATTATATAGATTGATAATTTGATAATTTTAAAGACTAAAATATTATTAAACAATATTTGAATAATCTAAATATTTAATATATTTATTTTTCAAATTATGTATTTTAATTTTCAACTGATACTTTATAATAATATTTTATGAAATAAGTTAAACATTTTAAACTAATGTCTATAATAATTGTTACGTGAAACATTTTTTATTATACAGTAAAAAAAATATAAAATAAATTAAAAAATTGAAACTTATTTTAAATCAACTTTATATTCTCATGAAAATATGAGTTAAACCTACCGTCTCTTTCGTATTTTCTTAAAACTTTTACTAATAAAGAAATCTTATAAATTCTAAAAGATGCATAAACTCACCTAACTCAAAAACATACTGTAAATCAAATCAAAAATAAAAAACATACTGTAAATCAAATCAAATTATAAAATTTTCCAGTCATAACAAACTAAATTGACTTCAATTAACTCTTCAATTTAACACACCAAACTAACAGTGAATTATGTCTAACATTCTTATAATTGGTCTTATTTTTAGTCGGTGTAAGATATCCAACACACCTCCTCACGTTGAGATATATACACTTCAAGTGTAAAATTAGACATTTTTAATAAGTGGTCTGATAGTGGGTGAAACAATATATCCAGTAAACAACAAATATCGGTAGGATAAGTTCTAATCATAACTTTAATAACATATTAGAAGTGAAATTAACTTAACCTCACAAAACCGACTTGTAAAATAACATATTTGCAAACCCTTATATTGTTTTTTTTCTGCATGCACTAATATTGTTAAATTCTTCACGCAATTTGAATAAAAGCTTGTACAACGGGTAGTGCGTAATTGATTAAATTCTTCACCACCTTTTGTTTGAACTTTCACTATGGTAGATGATTCGGTGAGTTAATTTATTTGAGCAATTACGACGAATTCTTCACAATTCATTATGTTCTCTACCACCTTCTATTTAAACCTTCACATCAATATCAAATACATGTAAATATTTTTCTCTATATTCACACATACCTCAATGAAACCTTTTTATAGCAAAATATAATGAATAGGATTTGTGAAAAATGACACAAGGCTATGTGTTTTACTTTTACAAGACACTCTTGATCATTACGATCATTAAAAACAATAGAGCCATTAAATAAAATACATGATATAATAAATGTAATAAATATAAAAAAGAAAAATTGATGAGGTCCTTAGTTTGGTAGGGATAGTCCTTAAGAATGAGTAATGTGATATTTATGGGGTCATAGAGGTTAGAAGTTCCGACCACACAGGACCCTACACGTGTCCAACGTTGTCCTTTGTGTGTCTCTCGTTTTCTGCATCTTATTATGGATTGGATTGAAAAATGGGTGAGGAGGGTTGTTTTCCTTTTGACTCCAACGTCACCTTCTTCATATCTCACTGTCATTTTAACACCGTCGCAAACGGTGAAAATGAATAAATGCAAATTAAATTAAATTAAAAACAAAAACAAAATGCAGTGACTATATATAACCAAGGAAGGAACACTAATAATCGAAAAAGAAAAAACCTCCCTAAGAAAAGGAGGAATAATCATACATAAATTTTGGATTTCGCACGTAGCCACGCACAGAGGACAAAACACAAAGGAGAGAAAGAAGAAGAGGAAACACGAAAGAGAAGGGACCTTAAGTTTCGAGATCTTGTCAGATCGGAACGCAACTGCAACGGACACCCAGATTCTGGTTTTTTTCTTTGACACCTTCTCTTTACCTCTGCAATGTGTCTTTTCGATCTTTTTTCCCATTTCGGAGATCTATTTTGCTGTTGTTTTCATGTTTATCTCGTGTTCTTTTCCTGTTTTTGTTTGTTAATCGAAAGCAAGAGCATTTTTCTCAGTGGACTTTCTTGTTATTTCTTTCTATTTCCATTTAAATAGATTTTGTGCACATTCTTCTTCCTTGGACCACGTTGGACTCTGTAATTTGCCTTTTTGATTTGTCTGGCATCCGTTCAAATTTGCATGCGTGTTATTCCCGGAATCCTGCCTTCAAATTGCTCTCCTGCCGCTTTTCTATGGTTACGGGTCAAAACACATTCAAAGTCGCTGTCTTTCTTTTCAAAGTAAAAAAAAATAAAAAAAATTAAAGGTCTCAGAGTGGTTGTTAAAATGGCCAATTTACACAAATGATGTGCTCATACGAAGTGATTCTGCTAGAAAAGCAATTTACTTTTTAAGCAAGGTAGTTTTCTGCATCTATTTTTTTTTTGGCTGTGCTTGAGATTAATTCCATATTGGCCTGAGCTAGCTTGGGCCACAAGATGCTTTCAGGGTCTCCTGTATCTTTTCAAGCTTACCTGGAATAAATTTCCATTTTTCCTGTATTCTAAAGAATTGTGAATCCTCTTGGATTTTCTTGATTGCATATTCAGAGAATCAATTGCTAAAATTTTATTTACTTTTTTTTATATATATTATTGGAATTTATTTCGTATCCATACCTCCATCCTATGTGTTTTACCTTTTTGTTTTCCATTTGAAATATCTCTGTTCCCTTTTTGCCTTTTTAGATCTGTTGTTTTGTAGTTTTATACTTGTATCTTTCTTTCTCTCTTTCTTTTTCCATTGATATCTTTCTTGGTTTGGGGTGGCAAATATTAGGGAACTAGTTCTGGCACTGTAGAGATTCAGGTATAGGTGTGTGTGGGTGCGCATATGGGGTGTATTAAGTTAGACCATGAGAGCAAGAGGTGCAAAGAGCTAATTTTGACCATTTGATATTATATATTGAGTTAAGGTTACATATTAGCATCTCTCACGCCATCTCCTAGTATGTTCTCTGTATAACAATTGTTTTGTTATAGGATGGAAAAAAAGTAGACATATAGTTCGTCTTGACCCTTTAGGTTTGGCATATGTAGAGATGCTTCTCTTCCCTGTCTCATGTTCTTTTCTTCACATGTTTGCTTTTGCACACAATTTTAGGCCAATAGAAGAGATCTGCTCCTGTAGTTTCAGAATGTTTATGATTCAATCTTAATATATTTTTTGTTCTGGTAGACAATTAAATTTATTCTTTTGCTTGTCAAAGGCATGTTTGTTCTTTGTCAATATCAGCCACCTGTTCAAAGTGTTTTGTTACTTACGCTTCAACTTGTTCCATGCAGCACCATGGGAAGGGAAGTTACTGGCTTACAGGTTATGGACAAGAAGCCAAATGGTTCCATAGCAGCTTCAAATGGTAGTTTAAGTGATAGAATGCGTGTTTCTCCCAAAATTGCGGCAATGGTTCAAGCAATGGATCATGATATAAAGGAATCTACGGAAGCTAATCCTTTGGAGAAACATCACGAGAGGAAAGATGTTTCAACTGGCAAAAGCACAAAATTAAATGTTGTCTTGCCAGAAGAGAAGAAGAGTGAGAAATCTGAAATACAGAAGATGGATGATAATAAAGATTTGAGTTCTCCTGTTGTGGATAAAGAGCTCCCAAGCCCGTCTGCTCCACAACCATCTGATCATGTAACTGAAAAGCATGTCACCCATGCACCTGCTGCCCATACTGAAGCTGCTGCAACTGGTCTGAACTTGTCTCCTAAAGCTAACAATATTCATTCCCCTAATTCCTCTAAGAATTCACAGGTACTGTTTCATCATATTTTGAAATTTGAAGTTTGAGCGGCTGAAATGCTTATGTTAGTACTAAGTAGTATGTGAAGTGGTTCTGATTGTGTATGATTATGTTGGATTATTTCCAATAACAAGAGAAAATGAAGTATAAATTTTATTTGTGTGATGTATTGTGAACACAGATTTGTTTTCCCTGCTGGCCACCATTTAAATGCATAGTTATGCGGTGAGACTCCTTGTAAAACACAATTTAGATAGTTCATCAGCCATGATTTAAATAATTAGACCGACACATACGTGCTAACTGATGAAGAAAGAATTGAGAGATTACATTTGATGGGTTGCACTGGGTCAAATCTAAATGCAGTCGTTATATAAAAGATGTTGCTGGGAAACTCATAGTACCGTGCATCCATACCCAACAAATACTAGCAACTTCAATTCATATTGAATGCCTTAAAGTTCTTGAGCCTGTTACTTGGTGAACTGGCAACCAAAACCAATAACAAATGTTTTGTTTGGACACTTCACTCATTTGCTAAAAATTCTGTGAAGGATTTAACCATAAATCCTTAACCTCCGTGTGTACAGGTCTTGTAGGGATGCTTTGCCTTTGCCTTTTTTGCTATTTGTGTGATATAGTGTTGAGTGTGTTTAATGAGATTACTGATATGCCAAATCTCTTCCATTTTCCTTTTCAGCCAAGCTCACCTTTTTCACCAAGGAAGTCCTTGCATTATGATGATAAGAAGCACCTGGACGATGAAGACAATTGGTCTGTTACTTCCTCGTATCCTCAAAAGTTGAACATTTTGATTGTTAATTCTGAACAAATCAATTTTTAGGTATGTCGGAAAAAAAAATTAGAATCTTCCATACTGAGTACTACTAAATATCAAACAGATCCTTCATGACATTGTAATAAGCCCTATTTGGAAACCCCTAACAGAGCCTACATTTACCTATATTTAAATATAATGCAACACTTATTTTTATTTTTTCTTTAACCATAATTAGTAGCGTTGCATCTGCACGCACTGCCAAATGTAAGGTAACTGTTGGTTCAGCCCCTAACTTTAGATGCTCGGACCGTGCAGAGAAACGGAGAGAGGTATTGTTTTACCGAACTTCTATTTCAGATGTATATTCTGGAGTTGTTTGTACTCCTGGTTGGCTATTTTGGTGTCTATTTTGTCATTTTGGTTCTTATCTCCACTTTGATTTATCTTTCCAGTTTTATATGAAGTTAGAGGAGAAGCATCGAGCTCTTGAAGAAGAAAAAAGCCAGTATGAGGCAAGGAAAAAGGTATATTGATCTTCACACTGCATGCATACTGCACACCCTTGTGGGGCTATTATTTTCAACTTTTGTTTTTCTTTGTCTAGCCTTGTGCTAAAAACATCTAATCACTATAGCTAAATCCTAGTCTGGTTTGAAGTCCATGTACGTGTATAACTTGTGTTTTAAATTGATTAAATAAGTTTGCTGTTTATACAATAATAACCTGTATAGGAAGAGGATGATGCTGCCATCAAACAGTTGAGAAAGAACCTGGTCATTAAGGCAAAACCAGTACCAAGCTTCTACTATGAGGGACCACCCCCCAGGACTGAACTCAAGAAGGTACACTTTTCATTTCCCTGTCTAAGGATGAATATGAGTTGCCTTTAAGAATTTTGGAATTTGCATGAATAGACCAAAGGAGTAATGCAATAATGGGTATGCTAAAATGCAATGCAATGCTAAAGAATGCTAATTTGACAGTAAGATGTACACCTATGGCTATGGTACTATTTCTTGTCTGAGTTCAGTGAAGAGTCTTCCTCTCCATGCTACCACATTCATGAAATATCTCACAGCACTTGCTTGTCATGATGATGTCATTTTAAGTTCTTTCCAAAATTTTCTAATGGCTACCAGATAGAAAAATTTCTTATTCCCTTTCTTTTCTTTGATGGAAGCTCCCACTGACCCGCCCCAAGTCACCAAAACTCTCCCGGAGAAAGAGCTGTGGTGATGCTGCCAATGTACCGACTACACACATTTGTACTATAGGACGGCGCAGTGTCGACATGAACACGAAACATCATAACCCTGCCACTCACAAAACTAAGGACCCTGTCACTGGACGGAAGAGCAATGGCAATTTGAAAAGCAAAGAACGACCAAAACTGGATAAGGAAACAGCTCCTAAAATCAGAGAGCAGACAAATGCGGACATATCAGTCCAATCATGAGCTTCCCAAGATTTTACTGACCTCCAGCTGAGAGGAAAATGGCCTTCATTTTCCTTTGTCACACCATATGGATAATCTGCAGAAAAGATGGCCTAATTTTCTTTTCATCCGGACTGACATTTTCATGTGGTTTGTTTTTACTTGAAGTGTATATGTTTTGTAAGTTATATCAGCACACATTGTTTTATATATATAAATAGTTATTGATGTAAGATGTATGTACGAAATTTGATATTCCTCAGATTGCACAACCAGACTTGGTAAGGGAAATTTTATGAAATATATTACTTTTTTTTTTTTGTAGGATGTAACTGCTAAATCTCGATTCTACTGTCTTTTTGTTTTAAGGTGGTAATTGTAGCAGATGTTATTGGTAGAATTTCAGCTTGAATTTGTTTTATTACTGGTACTGTGATAACAAATATTGAGTGTAGTAGAAAACTCTGCTTATTTTTAAAATAAACAAAATAGACAAACATATTAAAAAAATATTTTTTTAACTGATCACAGTAGAATTCTTATTCGAAATAAAAATGAACAAAATAAATTATATATAAGGAGAAACTTTCATAAACATGTAAAATTTTACGACTTGCGGATGATTTTGTTTCCGGTCGAAATTATGGATAAACCGGATTGCTGCCATAGATGGGTTTACCGTGTTTTGGAATGGAAGAAAAATGAAAAGCAGAGAAGAGAACGAAATATATTTGAATATTTCAAAAATAAAAATGAGTGATTATTATTTTTATTTTTTTTATCAAATTTAAACTTTATCCAAAATGCAGTTTGGTTTAATTTTGAAATATCCGAAAATAAAGTAAAGAGAGGCTTTTGGTGTTAGCTTGGGTCCTCGGAAGCATGGTTTGTGTGAGTACAGTGAAGAGCTTGAACGTATTACCCCTTGCCTCGTGGCGGCCCTCCACACGTGTGTGTGGTGGAAGCGGTGGCACGGTGACGATGGAGGGGCAAAAACGTCCTTCCCCCAAAACCCGTAGGAAATCGTCGTACGGAACTTCTAGAAAGTCTATTCTGAAGAAATCCTTCAGTCAAGAACAAGTCACTTTCACCGCTCCTATCTCCGACGACCCCCTCGTTGCCGTCATCGGCGGCGGCATCTCCGGCCTTATCTGCGCTCTCTTCCTCGAGGCACGCGGCGTTCGCTCCACCGTGTTCGATACCGTCAGTCTCTTCTCTCCTTAATCCTAATTCACTTCACCATTTGGTTATGCCAAAGCTAAAGGACTTTGTTTTAGGGTATTCACGGTCTTGGAGGAAGATTGGGAACCAGAGTCGTCGATCCTCATCCGTTAAAATTTGATCATGCGGCTCAGTTCTTTACTGTGAACGATTCTCGCTTTGCTGAAATCGTCAACGGTTGGATGGAGAGGGGTTTGGTGCGTGAGTGGCATGGTACCGTTGGAGAGCTTCACAATGGTGGTGGATTTGTTCCGTTTGTACCCTCTCCTCGGAGATACGTAGCCACCAATGGAATGCGATTCCTTGCTGATTCTTTACTGTCTCAGGTTCATTGCATTACTCCTTAAATATCATTGATTACAACTCTAAATAAGAGAAGAAAATATGAAGTCAAATTAGTTTTTTCTTAAAAGTTAAAATTATCTCATGAGTAGTTTGATGAGAGAGTTTTCATGAGTTAATTTACGTTAAGTTTTAACTTGCGGAAAAAATTATAACTTTTTTGGATAAACTTACAGGTAAACACACTTGTAATAACAGAAAATAGGAAAGGAAAGCTAAATAAGTTAATGTCGATTTTTAAAGTAGTGAGATTTTCTCAAAGAAATGTATATAGTTCCTATTCTTTGAAGAGTATATATGAGGTTTATCCAAATAGACTTTAATTTATTTTTCAATCTACCTTTTCTCTCCCAACGTACTTATTTATCTAAAGAAGGCATAAGTTAGTGATTGCTATTCCAGTTTTTTTGCCGCTGTTACTACCTGCTGTGAATTGTGCAGGCTCGCTTGGTTAATGTGGTGAGGCCATGCTGGATCAGTAAATTGGAGCCGTTTAATGGGTCCTGGCACTTGAGTGAAAATGGCAAGCCTTGTGGCAAGTTCGATACCATTGTTATCGCACACAATGGTAACTTGATATTTCCACGTTGACCATAATTTATCTTAGCTATGCTTCCTTGCATAACTGATTTCAATATGAACTTCAATCGAATTGCTTTTCGAATAATTAACTGATTCCAATATGAACTTCATTTAGTCGGATTGCTTTTCAAAAATTGTATAATTAGCTGAAAATTTGTACAGTTTTTCTCTGCTCATTGCAACTATGTCTGTCAACAGGAAAATGTGCCAATCGCTTGCTTATGACATCAGGATTACCATTAATTGCGAAACAAATGAAGGTTGGTCCATGTTATGCCCCTTCCATTCATTTGATTTGATAGAACAGTTCATTTATTGTTATGCATCTCATGCTTCTTGTTTCTGTTGTATTACCTAATTATGTGTTAAGAGGTTGGAGTTGAGTTCAATATGGGCCCTTCTAGCAGCTTTTGAGGACCCTCTCCCTTTTTCAGGAAGCACAGAAGTTCCTTTTGAAGGAGCTTTTGTGAGAGGAGTTGATTCACTGTCATGGATGGCCAATAATACGAAGAAACTACTGATTTCCCAGAGCGGTGGTCCTCACTGTTGGACATTTCTGAGCACTGCTGCTTATGGAAAACAGAATAAGGTTCCACAGGTAGGTGGTGGAAATTTCAAAATCATGTACCAAGAATTAGGATTACAAGTGTTAGATTGGTTTTAGCTTACATTCAGTATTTTTTATTTGTTTTGAGAGTGGGGAATGGGAGAGGAATATTGAAGATGTATATCGTTCATTATCCTACCTAAAATTACACTTGAAATTTGAAAGGGATTTGATTACTTATATCCTTTTTCTTGTCATGCACTCACTGGGATATCTTTATGAATATGTATAGCCTGCAATAATTAGGGTTTTGCACCAACCTGTATTTTCAGGAAAACATCCCTTCTGCTACAGCGGCAAAGGTAAAGGCTGGAATGCTAGAGGGTGTTGAATCTGCCCTTGGACTATCAAAAGGGTCCCTTCCAAAACCTTCGTATACCAGGCTTCAACTATGGTAATGATCATATCTTGGAAGTACTATGTTGGTTGGTTTGAAATGTCCTTTCATAGTCTTGGCCGAGTTAGGAGGTAGGTCGTTAGGATTTTTAAGCTGTTTATTTTGCATGTGTCGTCTATGCATGAAGTGATTATTTCATTAAAAAACGCTTTATTTTCTAAAGTTAGTTTAAACAAACAAACACCATGTGTGCACCCTCAATAGCATTGCTTCTGTGATATTCTAAACCACGAGTCAATACTCAACAAACTAGGTGGGATATAATATCTAATACTCTCCAAGCATCTAAAATATCATATCGGTTGCTCTTGAAAATTGCTTGTAAATTTAATTTATTGAAAATTATGTTATTCTGAGATTTGCAGGGGTGCAGCTCTTCCAACTAATACACCTGGAGTTCCTTGCATCTTTGATCCCTTTGGAAGGGCTGGGATATGTGGTGATTGGCTGCTGGGTTCTAATATAGAGGCAGCTGTCTTAAGTGGAATTGCTCTAGCGAACCATGTACATACATACATACCACTTTCACTTTGACAAGTCAATATTTTCATTTGCGTTCACATTTTTTAATGTTAAATAGACATCTTAAGTAATTCAGTTTTACTCTACAGTGAAGTGCTTAATTTTTTATTTCATTTGAAATTGGGTTGGATCCTTTTTACGCAGATTGCAGACTATTTCCAAAGCCCCGGAACTAACCCTGAGGAGTTCGCTGTTGGTTTAAATCATGAGTTTCAACCACTGGAAGGTCATGATATTGGACAATTCCCTGGTTTGGGATCAGAAGAAAAGATGAATGAAGGCCAAGCCTACGAACTTACCAAGTAGTCCACTGTGCTCGTGAAGGTCTCTCTCTTCTGGTAACAGAAAATTCATTTCATATATCCATGCAAAGGAATACCCCAGATAGCATCGCTGGTTCGAACTGGGAGATAAGACTGGAAATTAGATCTCTCCTTTGGGGGTCCTGATCTCCCTCAACAGCCACATGATGATATGAAACGAAACAGAATTGTAGTTTCTACATCTCTTCTGAAGAAAGAGATAGTGAAATTGTTATTTTAATGGAAAGAATAAAACTGTCCCTGAATGATTATAAATCCCTTTCTCATATCGGACAGAAATATAATCTTTTTATCTTTTTAAATGCAGGTTTAAGAAAACCAGAATTTGAATAGTTGGAACAGTATATTGACTGCAACTTTAGCCTTCAAAATTAAGAACAGTACAGTTTACATTTCTACCACCATCTCTTTCTATATTTTGGGCAGCATTTTCTTACGCACTATAAAATAAACTCGAATTTGACAAACAAAAACAAAATAGTGATGAAAGGCTAGAAAAGGATAGGTGTGGTTTTGTACAATGCTAGTAAAGAATCAGAGTCTCAATAATATATGACAGGCAACAAGTAATTCGAGTGCTTGTCCGTACAAGGTGACAACAAGGGTATAAAATAATTCATGTTGATAAATATAAAAAGAATCATGATAGCGGGGAGGAAAGAGTAGAAAGTAGAAGCCCCACGAATACTTCAGGATAACCGGTTTGGTCTGCTTGAATTCTATGAATGCTCGAAATTGTTTCCTCTACAGCAACACAAGAATATGTATACACGGATCACACTACTTCTCATCGGCCTTGTGGACTGACAAGTTGTGAGAAGTCTTGCTCATTGTCTTTCAAATCGTTGGTAATGTCAATATCACTTCCAAGGCTCAGGTTTCTATAGTGGCGTGCTATGTCGTTTTCTCTCAAGATTATATCTTCGAACTCACTTTTCTCAGCAGGGGCAGAATGAGTTGAACCACCCGCATCATTGACATTTTCTTGCAAATTGAGAGCAAATTCAAGATTCCACAATAGATCATTCATGGAGGGACGAGCAGCTCCATGATCGGACAAACACTTCTCAGCCGTGTCTACAAACTTCTTCAAGCTTTCTGGATTGATTTTTCCCTTGATACTAGGATCAATGATATCCTCCAGAGTTCCTTTTTTCTTGCAAATCAATGCCCATTCAGCAAGACTAACCTGTTCCTTTGGAAGGTTAGGATTGAGAACAGGCCTGGCACACAGGGCTTCAAACAGAACAACCCCAAATGAGTAAACATCAGATTTTTCAGTCAACTGTTGCCTCCTGAAGTATTCAGGGTCCAAGTAGCCAAAACTACCCTTCACCACAGTGCTAACATGACCATTGTTCATATTTGGACCAGTTTTTGACAAGCCAAAATCTGAAACCTTGGCATTCCAGTTTTCATCCAAGAGAATGTTTGTTGTTTTGACATCTCTGTGAATGATGGTGTACTTCGCCCCGGTGTGAAGGTAGTGAAGCCCTTTTGCAGCTCCAATGCAAATCTCCAACCTTTGCTTCCATGACAGAGTAGAGATAGGTTTGTTGCCCTTGTAAAGATGCTCCCTCATGGTGCCAAGAGCCATGTAGTCATAAACCAAGCACATCTCATTATGTTCCTCGCAGAAACCAATCAAGGACACCAAATGCTTGTGTCTCAGCTTGGAAAGCATCTCAATTTCCGTTTGGAATTCATTAACTCCTTGTTCTGACTGTGGGTTGGACCTCTTGATTGCCACCTTCACTCCATTATCAATGACACCCTTGTAAACCTTTCCAAACCCACCAACCCCAATGACGTTAGACTCATCAAAATTCTTGGTTGCTTGCGTTATCTCTTGCAAGGAGAAATAGCGGCAAAGACCTTGAGACATGGCAGATAAGGTGGAACTGCACACGCTCTTTCCAGACTTGCTGGATTTGCTACAGCTTGAGTTCGAATACATGGGAAGCCAGCCAGTTTGACCCTCTGACCCTGGTTCTTTCTTCTTCTTGTTGTACACAGCAACACATAACACAGCCATAAAAGCAAGACCAGCAGCACCTCCTGCAGCTCCACCGATAACAGAATGATGACTTGTTTTGTGGACGAAGAAACCCGCTTCCTCCTCCTGGTGCTGTTTGAGGAGCATGTCTGAAATCAGAGGATTGGGAGCAGATAAGTCTTTCTCGTTGATCTTGAATATCTCTACTCCATTGAGTATGGCATCGTAGAACTCAGGCTTTGTCTCAGGGTCGGGGTGCAGTGCGAGCCACAGCAACTCATTACTCTTTCCACCTTCAACATTTATCACGTAGTCCTTATAAGTTGGCACTCCTACGCCTCCTGTCCACCCAATCACATCGGCTAGATCTTGTGCTGTTTGGTTGTTCACAAAGATTTTGAACACAATCTCATTGATCTTGGAGAAGTAGTAATCACAGAAATGCAACCTTACAAGGTACATGGAATCAGTATCAACATGGAACATCCAAGTGAGATTGTAGCCCATGGTGAGATCTTTATCTCCCCCCATTGATCTAGATGTGGAGTAGACATCAACAGGAGCAATATACTCTGGCATGCCCTGATAGTTGATTGTCACATTCTTCTCTGCTTTGTTCGTCACACCAGTGGCTGCCCCATAAATATAAGGTGTATCATCATACCACATCCTTGTGAGTCCAGAATCTTGGACTGGAGATATGAACTGCCCCCCAACATTTAATCTAAACATGGTCTGAAAATTCAAGTTTGTCATATCTATGGTTTGGCCATCAAACCCTATCATTGTTGCAGAATCAAACAAATCGGGCATTTGGATAAGCTGAATGCCATTAACAAAAGCGAATGCACCGTTGTATTTATCAGAAGGCCTGAAAGTGAGAGTCAAGGTATCTGAATTCAAAGGAGCAAGGGAATACTCTCTATCAATGTAAGCTAGTGATAGGGCCTCACAAGTCACTGAGGCGCTGAAATTGGTGAGGAGGGTAACCCCATTTGCATCCACGGAGAAATATGAGTTATAGGTATCAAAACTGGCATAAATAGAGGGGTAAAAATGGAGCCTGAGCCAATAACGCTTGTCAGGTTTAACGGGGAATTTGTATGTTGTCTCAGATTTTATAATGCGTGCTGACATGTATGGAATCTCAGACGTAAGAGAAGGGTCTTGGAAAGAGGCTTTGGATGTGATTGAATCACCTTCTGTCCCCAAGAACTTTTTATCAGAACTCCATCTTCTTCCGTCAGCATCTTCAGCTCCTTCATCCAATCCGCAACCCAAGATCAAAGACCCTGGCTCCTCATTCCATGCACCACGAATGCCTTTCAACAAAACAAGAACACAAACAAGAAACAAGGGACCTTTTTCACCGAAATGCATACTTGAAGAAGGATAAGGAGAAAGAAAAATCCAGATAGAACACGTTCTGGCAGTACAGGAAAAAGTTTATGATTATAAGACGAAGGTATGTATGGATAATTTTTTCCTGCACGCCAAAAGGAACAAAGTGGCTGCTTCTGATTTTGTTCTTGCTAATTAAGGTGATGGAAATGCTTTCAAATTAACGCATTCTTCCTACCTCCTTGGAGATTCAAGCAATCAAAAACTCACCTGGTTGGAGGTTCCAAACCAGGCAAGAAGGTGGAGGAGAAGGAGGAGGATGAGATGATGAAGTATACTGATTTCTCTCTTTCTTGTATTATGACAACTTGGGAAAAAAAAATTTCTTCCTTTTCATACTTTATGTATGGGAGGTGGGGAGCAAGAATCGTAATCGAATGAATTGAATTGCTTACAGCGTGTGGTTTGAATTTGAAACATCATCGTATAAGCTATATTTAGCATCCCATGTTATTGTTTTATTCCCCTACAATTTCTGGACTACTGGTTTTGTTCACACTCTCATTATTATTACACACTGAAACCAGGAAATGCATGCATGCATGCATACGCTTTGATTTTGCATTTACTATAAGTTACTCGTAATTCGTTTAATATTTTAACGTTGATTCTCCTGATATCCACACACCAATGTTTGTTTCTTCTCTTTGTGGGAAACTAAATAAATGTTTTCTAAGTCACAAATGTGTAACTAAATTTGATTTAGTATTATGTAGAAGACTAGAAATAAGGCTCCATGGAAAGGCTAATTAATGAACAAAGAAATATATATTATAATATTAAAATAATTTAGTAACACATTTGTTAAAATAAATAAGTTTCTTAAAATATTCATGACCAAAATAAATACTATGGTAGCGATTAGTTTACTGATAAAAAAAATATTTCATAGAAATTATATTTATTTTAGAGAAAATGCAAATGAAAGTGGTGAAAAAAGTGTGGTTTATTTTTACTATCGAAGGAAACAACTGTATATTTTGAAATTAGATTATAGAGAAATGTAATATTTAAACCTTTTAAGATACTGAAAAGTGTAAAAATATGCTTTAGTCATAAAATTATTTTTTGAAAATTTTTAAAATAATAAAATGTATGTCTTAAATCAAGGAAGAATTAATAATATATTAATTCAATAAAAGAAAAGATATTACTAATATTTTACATTGGGTAATCGAATCAAACAAACCTATTTAACGTATAGTTCACAAAAATCTAGCTACAAATTGATCTTTAAAATAAATTGTCCTTTTATCTATGCTTAAGTGTCTAAACAGTAATAAAAAATGAAAAACTTATCAATTAGGAAAAAACTATATATATATTTTTGTTTATATTTACTAGCTAGGTGTGCTTATGAAGAATTTAGGTTTGATAAAATTTTATTAATCAAATCAATTTGACTTGGATTTTTTATTAATTGGATTAGTTAATTTTTGGTTTTTAATCTAAATTCAAATATATTTAATTTAAGATTTCATAGTTAAGATAAAATTAACGTGTAAATTGTTTATATTGTGGTTTAACTTCACAAGTATATTCAGTTTAGTAAATTCTCTTTTAACGTAAATTTCAATAAAATAATTCATGCATTTATTTAATGTTCGTATTTTATGTATTTATATACAAAGGTGAAATAACTTATGGAGATTAAATTGTAATAAAGAGAAATAAAAAAGATCAAGATGAATTAAAATGGTCAAATTGAAAATGTAAATTGTAAAAGCTAGATTATCAAGAGTAAAACAAAAATTAATAAATCAACAAAAATGGTGATTCAAATTGTAATTATCATCAAAGAACAAAAGCGGTGATCCTATTTACAACATTCTAAAAGTTTTTTAATTGTAACGATACTTTGTTACCTCTTTTACATTTGAACAAATTATTTATATGTTTCATTTTTTTTCATAGTTATTAAATAAAAATAAAAGAAAAGAAAATTAATAAATTGTGAAATGCTTTAGATCCATTCATGTTGTGTCAATTATGTCTCTCTTCTTGATTTTACTAAGCAATTTTTTTTTTCACTTATGTTGGCTTTTCTTTCAATTTTTCTTGATATCTTATATCATTTTTTGAAGTTTTCTTCGTTTTTCCAAATAAAACCGTAAGGATGAGTGACTCTGTGGATGAATGAGGTTGCAAAAACTTAGATAGTATGGATGATTGTGAATTTTCTAAGAAAATATGAGGTCAACTCTTAAGGAAGAAAGCCTAGAGTAGTCTAGAAGAGAGGACTTGTATAGGGAGAGCTCAAGCAACTCAATTTCAACAACATTTCTTTACTAAACTCAAGCTTAAAATACAAGAGGTAAATGCCTTCATATATAGGCCAATAAACCCTAAAAATGTCTAAGAAATGAGAGCAAAAATTTGAATTTTGGAGCAAAAAATTGTGCATGCTTGAGGTGTGACTTTCCACCTAAGTAATCACATGTTTGTGCTCTATGTGCACAAGTAGACACTTGCAAGACAAGTTTTCACTCCTTTAGATTTAAGAAACCTAATTTTAGGCACACACCTTGGCCCGAATTTAGGCCCATCTCCTTTTAGGCCCAATAAGACTCAAATTAAAAATCCTATCATACTCTGTTCATTATACAAGACTCAAATATTACTATTTTAGTATTTACAAAAAAAATCTTAAATTAAGTCTTCATATATATTTTTTTAGCCCAAATGAACGTCAATTTGAGCCTATTCAACTCCGATGAAATCTAATCTTTTTAAATTCTTATTATTACTCTTCTAGTTAGTCCCTTACTTAGGAGTTTGTCATCAGTTCATTATCTGAAATTTGTTATGAAATCTCTCTTAACTTACATCATTCTTTTTTATATATGTCTTTTAAAAGATTATAAAAGTAAACGATAACACATATTTTAAAATCAAAGAATATAATACTAATATACTAGGTTTAATAAAAAAAGTTGTCAAAAAAAGACTGTTAAAAAAACTTTTTTTTTGTTTTTTTGAGTTGTATGGGTAGTCGTTCAAGGCATTTGAATTTAAGAAAATGTTTTTTTTTACAACTTTTTTATAACAGTTTGTATTTTCCATATTAGCAACCTTAACCGTGATTATTATACTAATTAAAGAAATTAGAAAACGCCTATAGCATTAAATAAGATTATATAATTAGGGATGTTAAGCACTATTCCTAACATATACTGTATGAGTGGAATATACTCAGAAAAGACAACGATTTTAAAAGAATTAGTCTTTCATTTTATCCTTTATTTCTTTTATACTTAGCAAGTTGGATTTAGGAAGTAACATAATATATAATATAGTATGTTCCAAATACAAGCTAAATAGAAGTTGAATTTGCGCTGTAATAGCTCGTATTTCAAAAGTTGGTGCATGCATACATGCATAGAGTAAATTGGAAGAAGAATTTGATGGTATTAAAGGCGAATCTTAGATGCAATTACATTTTATTTGAATCATGGTAAAGAAACGCAAATTCCTATACGCCGTAGTATTTACCAGTGGCTCAAAACTGTATACATGGATAGACCTCGGAGAGACATACGAAAAACATATCTATAAAAACGTAAAAAGGAAAAGAAAGGGGTATTTAATTTAGTCCAACCATTTTTAGCTCCAAACAAAAACCCCGACAGAAAGCAACACACTTTTGTTTTGTGTTTTGGTTGTTTTTGAAGTGTCCAGAAACGAAAGCAGAACGATAGTTGTGTTCTTTATTGAGATTTCAGATTCTGCTTTTCGCCTTCTTGCTATCTATAACATATATCTTCCTCTGTACAAAAATTCCACACTTCAATGAAACTGCATTACAGAACAAGCTACAGCCTGAGCCCAATGCCTTAACTTCGTCTTTACATGTTCAGGGTCGTCCCCTGCATACATGCATATGATTCGAAAGTGATGAGGATTAGTATTATGAACAGTAAGATGGAAAAAGAAAGTGAAAAACTGACCTGGGTTACAAATCTTCCAAGAATCAGAGTCAGATGGTGGTGGTGTAGCGTTGATGGAGCTGCCAAAGGAAGAAGAGGCGCGGGCGTTAGGGGTGGAGACCGGTGACATCTGGCGGTTGACGGCGAAGTAGAGATCGAGAGCAGGCAAGGTGTCGCACAGTGTCTGGCCGTCTTCCTCGTTGAAACCGAACCCTAATTCTATGCAGCCTTTGAGCTCGTGAAGGTCCTCGTCGGTGACGTCGTCGCAGTGGTGAAAACTGTTCCTCCTTGTTCTCGGTCTCGTCTTCCCCTCTTGCTTCTTCTTCCTCTCCCATGCAATGTCTCGCGGCGCCTCACACAGCGATAACTGCTTCGATAAAAAACGCTTCCTTTTCTTCAACGCATCTTCTGCAAACGTAATGTGCTGCTGCAACTTCGCATCTACCTCCTGCATCTGCACACGTTGCTCCACTTCTCCCATGTATACTTTTTGTGTATATACTCGATCGATTCAGTGTGTATATTTACACCTATCAATGCCTGAAAGTATCTATATGTATATGTATATATATATCTATCTCTATATAATATTTTATAGGCAAAAGGGTGGCGCTTTATTTATTTGTTCAAGAGGAAGAATTGATGGGTGTGTAAGGAAGGATGTGTGGGTGGTTATGGTGGTGGTGGTGATCGGCGGAGGCAACCTTGAAAGAGGGTGGTCGCCTCGCCGCCGTGGAGGGTTGATTGGTTTGTGCCGATGGTATAATGAGTTGAGTTAGTTAATGGTGAAAATGGTGAAAAACGAAGGGAGCTAAATAATAATGAGGATTATTAACGGGGGTTTCTATTTGGTGATTGGTGTTTGACCATTCGTTTGTAACTGTCAGCAACTGTTAATTATAGAACATGATTTAACTACTTTTGGGCAGATACGAGGATAAAAATCAGAATATGCTTTACTTCAACCCTTCCCAAATTTATGAGGCTCTTGCTTCGTTCCACTAATAGTAATGTTGCATTTATTTACAAACATCATTCTTAATTAGATTATGAGTTAATTTTTAGTTATAAATTCAAATACTGTGTCTCTTTTCTTAATCTTTCAAAACAAAAGAGAAAAATTGTTGCGTGGCTCCTTTCTTTTTGTGTATATTTAGATGGTAAAATAATTCTGACACATCTAAATTTTTTACGTTCATTTCATTTTATTTTTACTTATTTTTTATCCTCTTCATTTTTAAAAAAATACAAAAGTTTATATTTTTATGATTATTTTATCTTTGTATTCTGTATCAAGTGAATATAAAAGTGTGTCATGGTACTATTTAGATGTATTCAATGAAAGAAAAATAAGAGCAAAGATTATTTGACACACCTAAATATTTTACATTTATTTGACAATATTCTTACTTTTTACCCTCTTCTTTCTTCAAACAATACAAAAATTTACACTTTTTTATTATTTTATCCTTGTAATATGTGTCAAATGAATGTAAAAGTGTATCATGATATCATTATTCAAAAAATAAATAATAACAATGGTCAAACTTCAAATAAATAAAGAGTAGGGATTTTGTAAGTGACAACAACCTGTTTGAAAAGTTTAAGAAAGACTTCTTTCAAATGTATGCTTGTAATCGGATAAATAAAACAGAACAATTTTTAGTAAAAACTTAGAAATTTTAATTAAATCCAAACGTATATATAGTAAGCTCTATAGTTTTTTTTTTCTTTTATAATTTTATAATATTTAATTCTTTATACTCCCGTCTTTGTTTTCGTTGACCGTTTTCATTAGGGTTTTCTTACTTCATTTAAAACTACACTAAAAGGAACAAATCTTATTACACCCATTTTCTTTAATTTTTAAATAATAATTATAGTATATCGCAAAATTAATTTTATTATTTTCATGATTTCAAATATATATTGAAAACACATGTTTTTTTTATAGATAGTCCTCTTTCATCAATCAAGTACATTATAATGCAATTTAATCATTCCTAGTTTTTTATCACAATAAATAATATTAAATTTTAATGAACAAACAACTTCATCTAGTATATGATGAGGACTCAAACAAATAATATTAAATGCAGTTCATACCTTTTATAATGTTAAATATTTCTTTTTTGATAAATCTTTTAAGACTTTATTTAAAAAATGGGACATAAGTAATAAATAAAATTGAGTGAACCAATATAAATAAATTACTAACACATTTATACCTTTTTATATATCTACACGGATATTTTTAAAACCCTTTTGAAAACGCTTTTAAGTAGATACTGTCCTGCAGATCATTCTTCAGTGTACATTTTCCATAACACTTTATGAAAGCTATACAAAACATTCATTCCATCCATCTTTTAGAACATTCTTGTTATTTTACATAATGTAATAACTAGATTAATCCTATAATTCGAAATCATGGTGTGAAGAATTCTCATCCTGCTAGGAATCATTTTGATTAACAACATTAATTTCGAAACTAGATGAAAGTTCTTATGTTTGTTGAGAGGTTTCATAACATTCAGATCTTGCTATTAAACTATTATTTTTAATTATTTTTCATGACAATATTTTAAAATAACTAATTCAAAATAAATTTCAAAGTAACTATTATGATAATAATATAGTATTTGTACATTCATACATATTTATATTAATANTATTTCTTTTATACTTAGCAAGTTGGATTTAGGAAGTAACATAATATATAATATAGTATGTTCCAAATACAAGCTAAATAGAAGTTGAATTTGCGCTGTAATAGCTCGTATTTCAAAAGTTGGTGCATGCATACATGCATAGAGTAAATTGGAAGAAGAATTTGATGGTATTAAAGGCGAATCTTAGATGCAATTACATTTTATTTGAATCATGGTAAAGAAACGCAAATTCCTATACGCCGTAGTATTTACCAGTGGCTCAAAACTGTATACATGGATAGACCTCGGAGAGACATACGAAAAACATATCTATAAAAACGTAAAAAGGAAAAGAAAGGGGTATTTAATTTAGTCCAACCATTTTTAGCTCCAAACAAAAACCCCGACAGAAAGCAACACACTTTTGTTTTGTGTTTTGGTTGTTTTTGAAGTGTCCAGAAACGAAAGCAGAACGATAGTTGTGTTCTTTATTGAGATTTCAGATTCTGCTTTTCGCCTTCTTGCTATCTATAACATATATCTTCCTCTGTACAAAAATTCCACACTTCAATGAAACTGCATTACAGAACAAGCTACAGCCTGAGCCCAATGCCTTAACTTCGTCTTTACATGTTCAGGGTCGTCCCCTGCATACATGCATATGATTCGAAAGTGATGAGGATTAGTATTATGAACAGTAAGATGGAAAAAGAAAGTGAAAAACTGACCTGGGTTACAAATCTTCCAAGAATCAGAGTCAGATGGTGGTGGTGTAGCGTTGATGGAGCTGCCAAAGGAAGAAGAGGCGCGGGCGTTAGGGGTGGAGACCGGTGACATCTGGCGGTTGACGGCGAAGTAGAGATCGAGAGCAGGCAAGGTGTCGCACAGTGTCTGGCCGTCTTCCTCGTTGAAACCGAACCCTAATTCTATGCAGCCTTTGAGCTCGTGAAGGTCCTCGTCGGTGACGTCGTCGCAGTGGTGAAAACTGTTCCTCCTTGTTCTCGGTCTCGTCTTCCCCTCTTGCTTCTTCTTCCTCTCCCATGCAATGTCTCGCGGCGCCTCACACAGCGATAACTGCTTCGATAAAAAACGCTTCCTTTTCTTCAACGCATCTTCTGCAAACGTAATGTGCTGCTGCAACTTCGCATCTACCTCCTGCATCTGCACACGTTGCTCCACTTCTCCCATGTATACTTTTTGTGTATATACTCGATCGATTCAGTGTGTATATTTACACCTATCAATGCCTGAAAGTATCTATATGTATATGTATATATATATCTATCTCTATATAATATTTTATAGGCAAAAGGGTGGCGCTTTATTTATTTGTTCAAGAGGAAGAATTGATGGGTGTGTAAGGAAGGATGTGTGGGTGGTTATGGTGGTGGTGGTGATCGGCGGAGGCAACCTTGAAAGAGGGTGGTCGCCTCGCCGCCGTGGAGGGTTGATTGGTTTGTGCCGATGGTATAATGAGTTGAGTTAGTTAATGGTGAAAATGGTGAAAAACGAAGGGAGCTAAATAATAATGAGGATTATTAACGGGGGTTTCTATTTGGTGATTGGTGTTTGACCATTCGTTTGTAACTGTCAGCAACTGTTAATTATAGAACATGATTTAACTACTTTTGGGCAGATACGAGGATAAAAATCAGAATATGCTTTACTTCAACCCTTCCCAAATTTATGAGGCTCTTGCTTCGTTCCACTAATAGTAATGTTGCATTTATTTACAAACATCATTCTTAATTAGATTATGAGTTAATTTTTAGTTATAAATTCAAATACTGTGTCTCTTTTCTTAATCTTTCAAAACAAAAGAGAAAAATTGTTGCGTGGCTCCTTTCTTTTTGTGTATATTTAGATGGTAAAATAATTCTGACACATCTAAATTTTTTACGTTCATTTCATTTTATTTTTACTTATTTTTTATCCTCTTCATTTTTAAAAAAATACAAAAGTTTATATTTTTATGATTATTTTATCTTTGTATTCTGTATCAAGTGAATATAAAAGTGTGTCATGGTACTATTTAGATGTATTCAATGAAAGAAAAATAAGAGCAAAGATTATTTGACACACCTAAATATTTTACATTTATTTGACAATATTCTTACTTTTTACCCTCTTCTTTCTTCAAACAATACAAAAATTTACACTTTTTTATTATTTTATCCTTGTAATATGTGTCAAATGAATGTAAAAGTGTATCATGATATCATTATTCAAAAAATAAATAATAACAATGGTCAAACTTCAAATAAATAAAGAGTAGGGATTTTGTAAGTGACAACAACCTGTTTGAAAAGTTTAAGAAAGACTTCTTTCAAATGTATGCTTGTAATCGGATAAATAAAACAGAACAATTTTTAGTAAAAACTTAGAAATTTTAATTAAATCCAAACGTATATATAGTAAGCTCTATAGTTTTTTTTTTCTTTTATAATTTTATAATATTTAATTCTTTATACTCCCGTCTTTGTTTTCGTTGACCGTTTTCATTAGGGTTTTCTTACTTCATTTAAAACTACACTAAAAGGAACAAATCTTATTACACCCATTTTCTTTAATTTTTAAATAATAATTATAGTATATCGCAAAATTAATTTTATTATTTTCATGATTTCAAATATATATTGAAAACACATGTTTTTTTTATAGATAGTCCTCTTTCATCAATCAAGTACATTATAATGCAATTTAATCATTCCTAGTTTTTTATCACAATAAATAATATTAAATTTTAATGAACAAACAACTTCATCTAGTATATGATGAGGACTCAAACAAATAATATTAAATGCAGTTCATACCTTTTATAATGTTAAATATTTCTTTTTTGATAAATCTTTTAAGACTTTATTTAAAAAATGGGACATAAGTAATAAATAAAATTGAGTGAACCAATATAAATAAATTACTAACACATTTATACCTTTTTATATATCTACACGGATATTTTTAAAACCCTTTTGAAAACGCTTTTAAGTAGATACTGTCCTGCAGATCATTCTTCAGTGTACATTTTCCATAACACTTTATGAAAGCTATACAAAACATTCATTCCATCCATCTTTTAGAACATTCTTGTTATTTTACATAATGTAATAACTAGATTAATCCTATAATTCGAAATCATGGTGTGAAGAATTCTCATCCTGCTAGGAATCATTTTGATTAACAACATTAATTTCGAAACTAGATGAAAGTTCTTATGTTTGTTGAGAGGTTTCATAACATTCAGATCTTGCTATTAAACTATTATTTTTAATTATTTTTCATGACAATATTTTAAAATAACTAATTCAAAATAAATTTCAAAGTAACTATTATGATAATAATATAGTATTTGTACATTCATACATATTTATATTAATACAAAATTTATAATGTATATAAATATTGTAAAAAAATAATTAGATAATAAAGAAAATTATGTAATCAACTCAGTACTGTTAAACACCATATCATAACATTAATCAACTAAACGAGTACTTTTATAGACGGTTTGTATTATATGAAGAAGTAGCCATAGGCATGTTTTATAATCCTACAATGTACTTATAGAAACAGAATGATCTTATACAGTAAATACAATAATTTCAACAAAAATATAATATTGTTTTAACAATCACATAGAAACTTAATTTTAAGAATATCTATGGTATTCAACAAAAATATAATAATATCCTTTTAATAACTACATTTTTAAATTCAAATAATTACTTATAATAAAAATCCATTTTTCAATTTTTTCTTTTTAATCATTACTTTTTTGAATTCAAATGGTTAGTCATAAAGAAAAAATCCTTTACACAATAAAAAAAAAATTGTCTATAATATAATTATAAAATTTATTTATTTTTGTGATTACTTTTTCATCGATAGTTTTTATTTCAATAATTAAAACTTATTTTATAATTTAATAAAACTTTTACTATATAATAAAAGAAAAGTAGATACACAGATGTATTTTCATTATTAAGAACACGGGTCAACAAAATTTATGAAACACTGCAAGAACAATCTCTCTCTCTCTCCCCTCTGCCACACACAAAGATGATTATTCTAGTTCTTTTAGGTATCTAAGACCAACGCATTAGTCTTTGTCATTGACCATACTAGGGGGTTTCAATATAAGGATTTTTTTTTTCATGTGAAATTAACCAAACCGAAATTACCCACACAAAATTGACCTAAGTACACACAGGATTTAAAAAATATGATTACCATCTTACACCACTAAAACACTTATCATTTCAAAATGAATAATCCTTCAAATCAGATTTTGAGTCGCCTAATTCCATGTCTGCCATGCACTCTTCCTCAGTAAGTGGTGGGAGTTGCCTTGTCTTACGCTTCATATTGTGCTTGTGCCACTCACTCTTGTGATGTTCCCTGTATAGCTTAGAATCATCAAAAGAAACATTACATGTATTGCACTTGTTTTGCTTTTGTTGTCCCTCAGTAGGCCTACTCGTGGATGAAATTGTTTGTTTCTGAAGTTTCTCATTCAATTCAACCACAGAATCATGAGTTTCTTTGGGCAAAGGTGCAGGCATATCCTCATAATCATTGTATTGATCTACATGTGTATCCCCCTCCACATAAAGAGAGTGAGCAAGAACTTCAAATCTTCCATGCATCTTATTCATAACAAAGTCATGACAATCCTTATATAGACCAGGTTCCATTTCAAAAACCTGCAATTCAAATCCAATCAGAGAATATACCATTATCCCTCAACACGTTAGCAAATTCAAGATTGATATTCACCAACTTTTGGAAAGGATAACGTTTCATCCATTAATCCAACAGAGACAACAGAAGAATCATGGAACAGTTTCAGAAATAGACGGCCTTTGGTAGTGAGGTAGGAAAGAAAGTCCAAAAATAGAGCTGATTTTGCATTGGTTAATGCTATTCTTTGTTTAGCAGATTGCATGTATCTACAACTAACGAGAAGTGGCAAAAATATTCTATATAGCTGCCATAATTAACTAAAAGCAACAACGGAATGTCATGCTATTTGTAACTTCATTTACTAATGAACATGGCATAAACTTGAACAATAAGCACATACAATGTCCCAAAGAATGTGACTGACCAAATACTAGAATTAGATCATCAACACGACTACTAGAAAGTGGACCCTTCGTTAGCTCTCCAAAGCTTATTTTAGCTTATGAAAGTGTCCCGTGACTCTTAAAAGCTCTTTTTATAGCATGTTTCAATAGTCTTTATGTAGAAACATAAAGATTATTTCACTAAGGTTTTAAGTCAAATTTATGAATAAGTTCTAGAATGATAAATTTCTGATAAAAGTGCTTAATTAAGTGGCTTATCTTAACACACCCACATAAGAGATAATAAAGACTTCAATAAAACTACCAACCATAGTAATCCTTGGTTTAACTTTCAAGTGATAATATACAATATGAGAAATAAAAATAAAAAAACAAAAAAAACAGTACAACTAAAATTAAAATAGAATTGACCATGGAACTATAGTTGTTTACAACTATACAAGAAATAGCAAGTACTTACAACAGATAACTGAGCAGAAGATCCTTCTTTAGAAATAACAGTAGCATTCCATTCCTTCAGTTTTTCTAAAAGATTAGGCAATTGGTCCTGAGGAGCAGTAGCACGTATTCTCAACGGACATCGTTTTATAGGGAAGTGCTTTTGAAGTTCTTGAATTAACTCCAGAGCCTGTATCATATAAAATATATCAGAATAACTTTCATAACTTGTATTGCCAATCATCATAACATCATTGTAACAGTTAAATAAATGAGAAAATTGTAGCATAGAACCATTTAGAGTGATGGAAAGAGAAACCTGTTTCTTGGAGGCGCTGTGTGGATCAACGGCAAAATGGATTTCCCGCATAAGGCGTTCAATCATACTGATAGTATAAGGGCGTTGAGTCTCAGTATTGTATGTCTTGTGCATTACGATGGTTGCAATATCCCTGAACTGACTTGACAACAGTGATTCCCTCTCTTTCCCAGCTACCTGAAGCTCCCCTTTCTTTAAAATCTGCTCCCTCAAAACAACAACAAAAAATAGAGAAAAATGTTATTGTTATTATTATAAACTTCTGATTTGAGGCTTCCTTACTTACATCTAAGCATATATTGGTCTGGTCATCAGTGCCAAAAGCTGCAATTAAATCCTTGGACTTGGCGAGAACCCCTTTGGAAACATTAGAATAAACAGTATGGGACTGCAGCACTTCATCCAGATCTTTTTCCCTGTTGATAGAAATTCAAATGTAATGGGAAATATGGAGATTGCGTAGCATATGTATTATTAACAATGAAGAGAGGGGTAAGAAAGGAGGCTACACTCCAGAACGCCAAGAGAGGACAGTGTTAGGGTAGCATGCAATTTCAAAGCGCATGCCATGCTTCTTCAGCCGCACCACTGCCACATTTGTTAGCCTCTTCTGCCCTACAGGCTGCACTAGTGTTCTAGACATCTCTTTCCTTTCTTTGTTACTTTATGCCTCCTCTGTGCTTCTTCCTTGGTTAGGTTGAACCTTGATGAATGAGAAAAAAATATTAAATAAATAAAGCATTTTTCACTGTAAACACTATCTTGTAATGCTTGTAATTATCTTAATGGAATTCACAAACTTATCCATTACATGCATGCAAGCAAGTTGATGCTTTGGGCTACAAATAGTAAGTCATTAGGAGCGTGCAGCTACGTTTGTCAACAGTGGACAAGACTACCAAGATTGGCTTTAGTTCCAACGTTCCAAATTCGGGAGTCACGATTATACGATAGAAATTGAAATTTTTTCAAAACATTTATAAAGTTTCCCAAGAAAGATAACTAAATATTAATAATTGTGCGACCATTATATTAATACATAAACTAATCTACAAAGTTAAAGTTTACATAGACCTCAAATCGTTATTACATTATACATGAATTTTTACAAAACCCCTTTCAACTTTAACTTCCCCTCTCAAGCTTCCACAGGATAATTTTGCTCCAGTATAACATCAGAATTACACTATCATTGCAGTCACACACACACAAACCACAAACAAACGTATGGGTGAGCTAACGTTTAAAACACATATACAACCAAACAATCAAATACAATGACATCATAAGAACACATCCAATTCATTAGCACATCAATATCAACAATATCTAATGATTACAACATTCACCATCACAAGTATTTTCTGAATAACAACAGAATGCATGCACATAGTCATAATTCTTCACAAATATAGCATACCATTCTCATTTTCAAGTTTCAACATCATCACCATATTTCCCAAGACATTATTCAATCTGTTGGAAGTTCCACATCGACTAAAGATAAAGGTCAATTTAGAGTATACGCTTGAAAGGCCATCGGGTACATGTTTGGATTAAAGTTTACAAACTTAATTTCGTTAAAATTTGAAAACTGAGATTGAAAAAGCAACCCAGGACTTGCTTTTACAAAACAGTGTTCAGCTAAATTTTAATGTGCAAATCTTGAGTAACGAAACATGTCAGGAAACTATGTTTGGGTGTCCAAAACTGAAAACCACAAATAGCTGAAGATGAATTTACTTCCACTTGAATGTGAAAATTGAAAAATGCATAAAAGTTACCTATTAGCTAATTCATATATTCATAGGGATCCTTACATCCGTGATATTCAAAAAGGATATTATAGGTAATACAAAACCATATATTAACATATTCAAATAAGTAAGACAATTTTGACAATCCCAAACCTGGAGTAATTGTGCCAAATTAACATGTCATGAGATATTATTGGTACAGTAATCAAATTGGGAAGTGAATTGTACTGAATGGCAAAAGGGAACAGCAGAGGAAAAAGAGGGGCAAAAGATTTCTCTGCTTCAGGAATTTATACAATATAATGTTTAAAAAATACTAAAAGATGTGGATACGATTTACTTTTTGAAGTGTTCAAACACAACCATAAAATGAAAGATTGTCCAAAATTTATGATCAAGCATTTCCTTGTTATAACATATGTTTCCAGTTCATATATCAGCATATTTCTCCACTGTTACAGACAAGGTGGGCTTAGGAACTTCACCCATTACGCTTTCTTTGTTATCTCTGGTTTTTGAATAACAGAACAGCAGGTACTCTTCTAATTTCGTAGTATCTGGCTATGTTGGAAAAGTTATCAGTGTTAAACTTTTAGCATGCAATTTTTACCGCATACTCTTTTGTTAACTCTTCAAGCACGCCGACTATGATCTTACATGAACCACACCACAAGTGATGTCCAAAACTCCACAAGCCTGAATATATCATTATTTGCATCGCAAAATAAGGCTTGCCACTTACTACTACCTAAATGCTTTCTTATGCAAAATAAAGTCAAAACATCACCAAAAGAGACCTAAAGGATATTCAACAATTTGGGTGCAAAATGTTAACTCTGATATAAAGTTCTATTCAATGATATTCCTTGTACGATTTGGGTACAAAATGTTATCAATTGTATACTTTTATCCCTTCGATGTTACTTTCCATGAACATTACGTATGCTAGCTACCAATGAGATTGATTCAATTAGCAAGAAGTCTGGTTTACCATAAGTAAAGTCTCGAATTTGATTCTTGGGAAAGGGAAAAAATAGGAACCTAGAGCATTTGGCACCCTTAAATGGGTTCATTTGGCTCAACTAAATTGTACTAACAATCTAAACAAAACACAAATATGTTTTGGGTTAATTTACTTAGCATAACCAGTTCAATTGCAGCTATTTATTTTCATTTGTCCAGTTGAAGTTTTAAAAGATCCATCATTTCTTATACACGTCTATGTAGAGCCATAGCATTAACAGAAGAAGAAACCAACAAATCTCATCCTACATTAATCACACTTTGGATGAGGGCCTATAGTTAACCCTACAACTCCAGCACAGCAAATCCATATCCTACATTAAACCCAACAACTCCTAAAACACCTCACATTCACTGATGCAGTTTGGTAAGCAAGTAAATTACATCAAGTAATGAAATACATATGGCTTTGAATTGTCTGATAATCATGAATTGGTATGATTTGGTATCGCTGAAAATGCTCTAAGGTTTAGAGCAGCAGAAACTGAGTATATTACTTGGTACTCGTAGCTACTAGTATAACTTTTAATTTATTTTATTATTATAGCTTGTTGAACTGCATCAACTATTGAGGGGCAGCATCAATTGAAGGTATATCGAGAGGGATGCTAAGCCCAACAGTTTTTTAAGGGACTAAGGGAGACTTTGATCAAATAGAGCCAACATGTATCCTTATCTTTAGTCTTACTTGTCTTTATTTTACATATATGCACCATACACAACATCAACTTCCTACATTGGATTTTGAGAGTGAATTCATGTTTAAAGAAAATATTGTTTCCCTTGCATGTATACATGAATCAAGTTATATCCGTATGCAAGTATTGATACTAAATCTATCATAAATATTTTATGATTAACCTGTTTCCTGAATTATATTTTTCAGAACGATATTCAAAGGTTGCTGCCCTGTGAGTGTAATTCAGAACACAAACGACTGCTATAAGTAAGAGCATAAACCACGTAATGCTTGCACAAGGAGTCAAAACTAAAAACTCCAAACTGGAGATGAGCTATTAATATATGCTAACATTCAAATAACAGTCTACAGTCACGTGGATGGAAAAACTGCTTGTAAAACAACAGGTGTGTAAGCTGTTTTCATGTTTGGGCTAAAATCTGTTTGGGTTGGTTTGCATGTAAATCGTGTTCTACTAAAATTCAAGTTTTTGTATAGTACCATGTAACAGAATGTTTAATTAAATCTTACAAATTAAAAAGTCAAATTAGAAAATAAAATAATTATACACAAGATAGTACTGGACGTGCACTTCAAACAATCCAAAAGCTTGCTCCCCATTCAATGCTGAAATTTTTTTGGCAAACTAAACCCTACCTCCCAATCAAAAATTTAATTTAAACCCAACTAAAACAAACGAACACAATTAAAAAAAGTGGATTATGACCAGAACAATATCACATAAAATATACGAAGATGTCAAAACAATTTAAGAAATGACAAATTGCTGAATTGGAAAAGTAGATGGTAGATAAAAAGAATGAGTGCTCACCGACGGCTTTAGATCCTTCAGAGCCCCCCGTCAATGGAAGGAAAGCAAAGCTAGATTGAAGCTAGGGCACGAATGCGAAGGAAAGAGAAAGAAAACAATTTTCAGAGTTTAAGATAAAGCGAAAAACTTATTTTTATTTTATTTAATACATTATTTAAAAGTTTCTCTTATTTTATTTAATATGATATTTAAAAACTTCTCTTATTTTTATTTGATTTAATACATTATTTAACTCATTTGCTTGGAGAAATTTTTTCCTAAAACCTTGTAGTGACGTTAGAATGTGTCATCTCTCTCATTCGAGTTATCACTCTTAGTTATTTAGTTATTTAACTCATTTATTAGTAAATGTAACACTTTTTGGTAAACGGGTTAACTTATTCACTTAATTATAATTTTTTTAAAATTAAAATAAATTATAATTGTTTGTAATTCAAATTTAAATAATTTCATTATAAACTAATGCTAAACTCAAAAGATAATTTAAAATAAAAAAATTAACATAAAACTCAAATTTGATCCAAAAGCAATTCCAACAAGAAATAAATAAGTTTATAATATTAATAATTTTTATATCCATTTATAAGATTAGAGTTTTAAAAGGATAAATTTATAATATATTTTTTTGGAAACATTTTTTTCTTTATTATCATTTACAGTACAATAAAAAAATATTAACTAATAGTATTAAAACACAAAAATAATAAATAATTAAATTAAACTAGGTGAACTAGCAAACTAACCCGACTTACCATGAGCTCAATCCGAGAGAGTCAGATTCTAAATGAGTCAAGTTAAAAATTAGTTTGTAGGTTTTAACCCATTTTAACATCAATGGGACTAATTAATTTATCCTAATTAATTTATCCTTCTACGATAAATCAAAATCATCAAAATAGTTTCAATGTATAATAATCATTAATTGATGGAGTAAATATTTTAAATTTAGGCATTTTGAATGCTATATATGAGATTTATTTTGTTAACATAACTTTTTTTCAATAAAAAGTACTTCCCATTTTTTGAAATTAACTTTTCATCTTATACACTACTTTTTTATTCCTATCACACTGCATTATAACTTTTAAATATATGATTAATTTGTTTGTAAATAATAAATTTGGTATATAATTATATTTTTCTTTCAAATCCATCCTTTAAGTGATTAATGTTATAGAAAAAACGTGCTTTATGATTTTTAAAATTAAACTCTTCTAGCAGGTCTTCATAACAAGACCACTTGTAATATTTATTATGTGTGAATTAAAATATTAAATAATTTTAAAAAATACACAATGGTTTTTGTTTAAATATGTTTTTAATCTTTTAACTAGTAAAAATTATAATTAATCATCTTCAAAACTTAAGACTAATTTAGTTTTTCATTTTTAAAAGTGTATAAATTTAGTTTTTTAATTCAAATTTTGTTAAATTTATCTTATTTAACAATTTTCTACTTTAATATTAACTAAAAAAGCATTTAAAATATTAAATAAACCTAATAAATTTATTTTAAAATATTAAATTTATATACTTTTAAAGATAGAGATTAATTGGACTAAAATTTTGAAGATAGACTATTTACCATTTTGACTCAAATTTAAAGAATAAAAAACATATTTAATCCAAAATAATTTTATAGAAAAATTAAACAATTATGAAATCATTATATTTGATAGCTTAAGTGGTTCTTGGAATTGGAATATTATAAAATTTTCATTTTTAAAGAGAAATTGTTCTTTTTTATTTATTTTATACAGATTAAAGATATTTCACCTTTTTTTTTGCAATTACACCCTCCTTTTTATTTTTATTATGATTTGAATTTTTTTAATAAATTAAATAAACTTTCAATGAATACAAATAATTTATATTAAATTGAAAAAAAATTACAAATGTGATTTGCATAGTAAGTTTAATTTTTATGAAACAAACATAGAAAACATTCGAAGTTCAACAACAACTCTTCGATAGATAGAAAAGTAAGAGAAGAAAAGTTCAAAAACCCTTTGATTCACATTAAGAAATAAAAACAAAGGTACTGGCTTTTAGTTATAATCAATAATACGATATGATGTCTATTTCTTTATTATTTTATCTTACTTGAATGATTTAAATTTAATATGTATATGTATTTTGATTTTATAATTTGTTTAAATAAATTAAACACTATTAACTTTTACATTTGATGTGAAATATGTAATTCGAATAAAAAAATGTAGAAAGAGTAATATAAGTTATATATTTGAATGAAAAATGAAAAATAAATTAACATATAGTTAAGTCGTGTACAAGTACAATTATTTTAACTATTTTAATTGTATACATAGTTTATCTCAGTTATTTTGTATTTATGGTCATATAGATAATAGAAAATATTAAACTTTTAAAATATAATTAAAAATAAAATATTTTTTTCAAAATGAAAATATTTCATTATATATCAGTATAAATAGTAGAAAATAAGTCACGTATACATGATAACAAACGTATTAGAAATAAATGTGATTGTTTTTTAATTTTTATATATATATATATATATATATATATATATATATATTTTTTTTTTTTGCCCCTACTACTACCTAAATGCTTTCTTATGCAAAATAAAGTCAAAACATCACCAAAAGAGACCTAAAGGATATTCAACAATTTGGGTGCAAAATGTTAACTCTGATATAAAGTTCTATTCAATGATATTCCTTGTACGATTTGGGTACAAAATGTTATCAATTGTATACTTTTATCCCTTCGATGTTACTTTCCATGAACATTACGTATGCTAGCTACCAATGAGATTGATTCAATTAGCAAGAAGTCTGGTTTACCATAAGTAAAGTCTCGAATTTGATTCTTGGGAAAGGGAAAAAATAGGAACCTAGAGCATTTGGCACCCTTAAATGGGTTCATTTGGCTCAACTAAATTGTACTAACAATCTAAACAAAACACAAATATGTTTTGGGTTAATTTACTTAGCATAACCAGTTCAATTGCAGCTATTTATTTTCATTTGTCCAGTTGAAGTTTTAAAAGATCCATCATTTCTTATACACGTCTATGTAGAGCCATAGCATTAACAGAAGAAGAAACCAACAAATCTCATCCTACATTAATCACACTTTGGATGAGGGCCTATAGTTAACCCTACAACTCCAGCACAGCAAATCCATATCCTACATTAAACCCAACAACTCCTAAAACACCTCACATTCACTGATGCAGTTTGGTAAGCAAGTAAATTACATCAAGTAATGAAATACATATGGCTTTGAATTGTCTGATAATCATGAATTGGTATGATTTGGTATCGCTGAAAATGCTCTAAGGTTTAGAGCAGCAGAAACTGAGTATATTACTTGGTACTCGTAGCTACTAGTATAACTTTTAATTTATTTTATTATTATAGCTTGTTGAACTGCATCAACTATTGAGGGGCAGCATCAATTGAAGGTATATCGAGAGGGATGCTAAGCCCAACAGTTTTTTAAGGGACTAAGGGAGACTTTGATCAAATAGAGCCAACATGTATCCTTATCTTTAGTCTTACTTGTCTTTATTTTACATATATGCACCATACACAACATCAACTTCCTACATTGGATTTTGAGAGTGAATTCATGTTTAAAGAAAATATTGTTTCCCTTGCATGTATACATGAATCAAGTTATATCCGTATGCAAGTATTGATACTAAATCTATCATAAATATTTTATGATTAACCTGTTTCCTGAATTATATTTTTCAGAACGATATTCAAAGGTTGCTGCCCTGTGAGTGTAATTCAGAACACAAACGACTGCTATAAGTAAGAGCATAAACCACGTAATGCTTGCACAAGGAGTCAAAACTAAAAACTCCAAACTGGAGATGAGCTATTAATATATGCTAACATTCAAATAACAGTCTACAGTCACGTGGATGGAAAAACTGCTTGTAAAACAACAGGTGTGTAAGCTGTTTTCATGTTTGGGCTAAAATCTGTTTGGGTTGGTTTGCATGTAAATCGTGTTCTACTAAAATTCAAGTTTTTGTATAGTACCATGTAACAGAATGTTTAATTAAATCTTACAAATTAAAAAGTCAAATTAGAAAATAAAATAATTATACACAAGATAGTACTGGACGTGCACTTCAAACAATCCAAAAGCTTGCTCCCCATTCAATGCTGAAATTTTTTTGGCAAACTAAACCCTACCTCCCAATCAAAAATTTAATTTAAACCCAACTAAAACAAACGAACACAATTAAAAAAAGTGGATTATGACCAGAACAATATCACATAAAATATACGAAGATGTCAAAACAATTTAAGAAATGACAAATTGCTGAATTGGAAAAGTAGATGGTAGATAAAAAGAATGAGTGCTCACCGACGGCTTTAGATCCTTCAGAGCCCCCCGTCAATGGAAGGAAAGCAAAGCTAGATTGAAGCTAGGGCACGAATGCGAAGGAAAGAGAAAGAAAACAATTTTCAGAGTTTAAGATAAAGCGAAAAACTTATTTTTATTTTATTTAATACATTATTTAAAAGTTTCTCTTATTTTATTTAATATGATATTTAAAAACTTCTCTTATTTTTATTTGATTTAATACATTATTTAACTCATTTGCTTGGAGAAATTTTTTCCTAAAACCTGTAGTGACGTTAGAATGTGTCATTCTCTCTCATCGAGTTATCACTCTTAGTTATTTAGTTATTTAACTCATTTATAGTAAATTAACACTTTTTGGTAAACGGGTTAACTTATTCACTTAATTATAATTTTTTTAAAATTAAAATAAATTATAATTGTTTGTAATTCAAATTTAAATAATTTCATTATAAACTAATGCTAAACTCAAAAGATAATTTAAAATAAAAAAATTAACATAAAACTCAAATTTGATCCAAAAGCAATTCCAACAAGAAATAAATAAGTTTATAATATTAATAATTTTTATATCCATTTATAAGATTAGAGTTTTAAAAGGATAAATTTATAATATATTTTTTTGGAAACATTTTTTTCTTTATTATCATTTACAGTACAATAAAAAAATATTAACTAATAGTATTAAAACACAAAAATAATAAATAATTAAATTAAACTAGGTGAACTAGCAAACTAACCCGACTTACCATGAGCTCAATCCGAGAGAGTCAGATTCTAAATGAGTCAAGTTGAAAATTGGTTTGTAGGTTTTAACCCATTTTAACATCAATGGGACTAATTAATTTATCCTAATTAATTTATCCTTCTACGATAAATCAAAATCATCAAAATAGTTTCAATGTATAATAATCATTAATTGATGAGTAAAATATTTTAAATTTAGGCATTTTGAATGCTATATATGAGATTATTTTGTTAACATAACTTTTTTTCAATAAAATGTACTTCCCATTTTTTGAAATTAACTTTTCATCTTATACACTACTTTTTTATTCTATCACACTGCATATAACTTTTAAATATATGATTAATTTGTTTGTAAATAATAAATTTGGTATATAATTATATTTTTCTTTCAAATCCATCCTTTAAGTGATTAATGTTATAGAAAAAACGTGCTTTATGATTTTTAAAATTAAACTCTTCTAGCAGGTCTTCATAACAGACCACTTGTAATTTTATTATGTGTGAATTAAAATATTAAATAATTTTAAAAAATACAACAATGGTTTTTGTTTAAATATGTTTTTAATCTTTTAACTAGTAAAAATTATAATTAATCATCTTCAAAACTTAAGACTAATTTAGTTTTTCATTTTTAAAAGTGTATAAATTTAGTTTTTTAATTCAAATTTTGTTAAATTTATCTTATTTAACAATTTTCTACTTTAATATTAACTAAAAAAGCATTTAAAATATTAAATAAACCTAATAAATTTATTTTAAAATATTAAATTTATATACTTTTAAAGATAGAGATTAATTGGACTAAAATTTTGAAGATAGACTATTTACCATTTTGACTCAAATTTAAAGAATAAAAAACATATTTAATCCAAAATAATTTTATAGAAAAATTAAACAATTATGAAATCATTATATTTGATAGCTTAAGTGGTTCTTGGAATTGGAATATTATAAAATTTTCATTTTTAAAGAGAAATTGTTCTTTTTTATTTATTTTATACAGATTAAAGATATTTCACCTTTTTTTTTGCCCAATTACACCTCTTTTATTTTATTATGATTTGAATTTTTTTTAATAAATTATTAAATAAACTTTCAATGAAATACAATAATTATATTAAATTGCAAAAAAAAATTACAAATGGATTTGCATAGTAAGTTTAATTTTTTATGAACAAACATAGGGGAAAAACATTCGAAGTTCAACAACAACTCTTCGATAGATAAAAAGTAAGAGAGAAAAGTTCAAAAACCCTTTGATTCACATTAAGAAATAAAAACAAAGGTACTGGCTTTTAGTTATAATCAATAATACGCTATGATGTCTATTTCTTTGTTATTTTATCTTACTTGAATGATTTAAATTTAATATGTATATGTATTTTGAATTTTATATTTGTTTAATAATTAAACACTATTAACTTTTACATTTGATGTGAAATATGTAATTCGAATAAAAAAATGTAGAAAGAGTAATATAAGTTATATATTTGAATGAAAAATGAAAAATAAATTAACATATAGTTAAGTCGTGTACAAGTACAATTATTTTAACTATTTTAATTGTATACATAGTTTATCTCAGTTATTTTGTATTTATGGTCATATAGATAATAGAAAATATGAACGGGGAAAAGAGAATTCGAAAAAGAAAATAGGGGGGCAAAAGGAAAAGATGGCAGAGAGAGCAGGATGAAAGAGGAGGAAAAAAAGAGGCACGTAGACAGGGAGACAAACGGAGTAGAAAGAAAGGGGAGGGGGGGGGAAGGGGAGAGAGAGAGAGAGAGAGGAGAGAGGAGAGAGAGAGAGAGAGAGAGAGAGAATAGAGAGCGAGAGAAGAGGAGAGAGAGAGAGATATATATATATATATAGATATATTATAT